CTTATAATCTCTCCATCTAGACATAAGTAGTTTTATATGAGGTACTTTGAAGTTTAAAAATATAAATTCCAAATGTTTTTATTATTTGGTTTTATTTGTTGATAATTATGCGCATAAACTGCCAATAACAAATGCACGCCATGCAACGTAAATGCTCTGAGACGATCATGATTTGGGATGGCTCCAGGTTGGCACCTCTGTCATTGGTAATTCTCTTTGTTTTGTTTAAAGCAGCTGCAGTCGTACTCTCAACCGCTGCAGTACGCTCCACATCTGGTGCCGCCTACTGTTGCCCCTCCTGCAATGATGGTTGCAACCCCAGGTGACTGTTCAGTAGTATAACATTGCATTATGTTTTTCCTCCTATTCACTATAAGAGCTTAAATATCAATAACTATTTTTCATACTTTTGGCACTAGGGGTTTTAATGGCTGCACATCCTGCTATGCCATCAGACCCCAGCCTGAGCCAGGTAGGTTAGAAACCAAAGCAAACTAAAATAAACTTCAAAAATCAGGATATTTAACTGTTGTAAATTCACACAGGGTTATGAAAAAGCTCCAGCTCTGGCTGCTTTTCCTACTGCTCCTGCTGCAGCTCAGGAACACCAGCCTGATGAAGTTCACGTGCCCACCGACTCATCAGAGATAGCTGGCAACACAGACGCATCACAGACTTACGTTTATGGTAAGAATAAGCCACGATTATTGTAATGTTTACCAGACTTTTAAAATATTACTATGAATAACATGCATAACTAAAAACAGCATTTGTAATCTCCTTTCAAAGGTCAGTGTGCCTATTGTTTCCAATTGTTTTGTATCAACTACATTCCCTCCAGGTTCTGAGGCTCCTGACACATCCAAATACTTGTATGATTCAACGTCAGGTTTCTTCTACGACCCAGAGACAACACTGTACTACGATCCCAACTCAAGAGTGAGAGCCAGCAATGTTTCCCTGTTTTTACTGATCTCTAAATAAGCATCCCTGCAACTAGTTTTGTGCCCCAGTCTAGAATCTTAGGCAGTTTCCATAAATTTCCATATTTATGTTGGCTAACTTCAACAAAACTTCTTCGAAAACAATTAGCTTTTTTATTGTTTTTGCATCTGTGTCTGTCTGTTTTACCACCTACACGTAGATTTTTTTTCTCTCATTCTGCAAACAAACACCCTCCCTAATTTTAATTTTGCAGTTCTATATCACATATACTTGAGAAATGTGGTCTATGTATGTTATCTTAAACAAAAAACTTTGAGGCCTCTAGTTGGCTACCTGATTTTGAAAAGCTCAAMGTCTGTGAAGAGACAGAACTTAATTTGCATATTAATGTACTTTTTTTTTAAATCTACCAGTTTACATCACTTTGAACAGCAAAGCCTGTGAGAATTCACAGTTTATATTCGGAATTCATAAATTCATAAAGCCAAGGTTAAACCTAAATTTCTAACTATGTGAATAAGAAATTTATAAATCCAAAATAGTTTTTAAAGTGTTCTTTTTGTGAGGTTTTTAGTAAGATGTGTTTTTTTTATTATTATTATTTATTTTTATTGACTTGTCTCTTTTTCTCACCACATTTTTTTTGGCAGTATTTTTACAATTCGCAAACCCAGGAGTACTTGTACTGGGATGCAGCCTTGAAAACTTACATTCCAGTTCCAGGAGGGAGCTCTGCAGAGACCCAACAGGTGGCAATGACTCCAAAAGACCAGGCCATTCTTTCCAACCCGGCAGCAGATGCTCCTTTAGAAATGAAGAAGCCGCCCCAGCCGTTAGCAGCAGCAGCTCCAGCTCCGGCTCCGGCTCCACCTGCTGTTTCAGCCAGCAGCTCTGCAGAGTCTGTCCCAGCTCCTACAGTGGCTCCTGACATCAGGGAAGATGACGAGTCTCCTAAAAAGGACAAAGAAAAGGAGGGTAAAGAGGACAAAGTGAAAAGTCTGGCTGCTGTCAAGGTAGCACTTTTAAACTTATTTAACTGGACATGATTTGCTAAATAAAATCTATAGAAGCCAAACGATTAGGATTATTTTGTTGCTGTTTGCAGATAATGAAAGATATGGAGCGCTGGGCAAAGATCCAGAATCGCCAGAAGGACTGTGTGCGTGCTCCATCTCCGGTCCTGAAGACTGAAATAGATGTTGAAAGGAGGCCGTCGAAGTCGGCTGATGCTGCTTTTGCTATATTTGAGAGGAAGGTCAGAGACTTAACTTGATAAACATTGTTTAATTTCTCTCAAAACATTACCAATAATAAGTCTACCTGTTTTTGTCCCTGTGTTATAGAACTCAGGTGGTGATAGTCTTTTTAAGAAGCCCCTCTCTCTCTCTAAAAAAGATGAAAAATCAAAAGTAAGAAACATTCCATTTGAATTGATTTCCAAACTTTCTGAATAGATTTATTATTATTATTGCCGTTTACATAATATTTGTCTACTTTCTCTCTCAGCATCCGATGGGCTCTCTGGGTCTGCTGGCATCAGACTATGGAGCTGGAAGCGATGAAGAGGTGGAAGAAGATAAGGAGGAGGGAGCTAAAAACAGCCAGAAGAGGAAACCGGCAGAAAAAGAGGACAAACTGACAGACTGGAAGAAGATGGCCTGTCTACTGTGCAGGAGACAGTTTCCCAACAAAGATGCTCTGATCCGCCACCAGCAGCTCTCAGATCTGCATAAAGTACAAACCTTTTACTCTATATAAAATAATAGGTCAAATTAAATGTAGTCTTTAACACTTGTTTTGTTGTCTACACAGCAAAATATGGAGATCCACCTCAAGATCAAACAATCAAAGAAGGAACTAGAAGCACTTGAGAATCAGGAAAAAGAAGTAAGTGGACATTAAAGGAGTGAGACGTTTTCCTGAGGGAACTGTTATCGGGTGATAGGAGTGTGGGACTCTTTAGGAAAAGTGTAACGTAAACATTCTGCGTTCCTCCTCACCTCCCCGTGTTACTACTTAATACTTCTAAAGCAAAGTATTTGTACTGACACAAAAAAGCAATTTCTTCTCAAAAATGATTTTGTAATTCAAAGGAATGGAGCAGATACAATAAGAATTTTTTCTTCTTCTGCTGCCTTTCATTTTATTTGATTTCTATTGTTTTATTGTATGAAATGTTTTTTAATTTTTAATGTTTTAATGAAATGAGTAAATAATAAAAAGTGAATGTAAGCACTTTCATCTTTTAATTAAAGGGGCAATATTATGTGTTTCTCAGACATATATTTAAATACTATACCATAATAAAGTATCTATGTCACCTTTAGCTGTTATTAAAATGCTGTTTTTATGTTTAAATAGAAAATAAACTTATCTTCGCATCACTTCCTCTTCTAAACGCCTTGAAATTGGCCTCTGTCTCTTTAAGAACCTCCTCCTGCTTCTGTCCCATCTCATCCCATCACCCGTCAGTCGGGGGGGTCGCGTGTGCGGGGTTGGTTTGTTTCGCACGTGCGCTATGATGCAGTTTACTTGGCATCTGAAAATACATTTCCTCAAAGGTATTTTGAATCTGAAAAGAGCTTCACTGAGTAAGAAGTAGTGGATCTCAGCAGACAACTTAAGTTTCAGTTTCACTTTTGCTTTGTTACTGCTGAGAGCCTGCAGGAGTCATGGGCAGGGTGTGTGTGGTGGGGGGTGGGGAGGTGTGCTCCGTGATGAGGAAGTTCAGCTTAAAGACACGTCCCAGGGGCGTTTCTGTTACCAAAAGGCGTTTCTGGTCCCCACCTGTCGTTTTGCTCCTCAGCATGGCTGCCTAAAAACTCTGCAGGATTTCTCAAACATGCATGAATGAGTCAGAGCAAGGCTTTGGGCATGTTGTTTGTGAGAGTATAACATTATAACATGATATAAAAATCAAAAAAGTTGATTTTACATGATATTGCCCCTTTAAAAAACATTCCTCTTCTGAAATTGCAGCTTTCATACAAAATAAAGCAAACTGAAAACAATATTATCAATCAAAAACCGATTTTTTTCCCATATCTGCACCAAGTTGCATTTAAAAAAATGAACAATATTTCCTTGTTATTTTTGAATGAGGTATACCTTTTTTTTTTTTTCAACAAATTTTATTTTTCTTCTTCAACAGCTAAACTCTAGAACAGCTACCAAATCACCAGAACAGAAAAGAAGAAAACACCACCACCAGCAGTCACATCAGAACAGCTCGGCTGGAAGCTCCAGGTAAATGTGTGGACTGTGAAAGAAAAAATAAAGCAAACCTTTTAAACAACATTTTATTTATTACATTTCTCATCTATATTCAGGGACAACAAAGCCAGTGACAGGCCAGGGCACGGGGCAGAACCTGGTCAAGTAAGTGACAACACTGAACTTGAGTCCTGTTATAATGAAGTTAGTCTTAAATTTTTTTTTTTTTTCTGCAGCAGAAAAAAGAGCGCGCTCCCTGGGACCACTACACCTACAAACAAGCAGTGCGCAAAGCCATGTTTGCTCGGTTCAAAGAACTGGAGTGATTTCTTCAGGATATATCTTTGCTTTCATATGTGAATAGTTCATGGTGCTCTTACCCACCTTTTGCATGAGAAATGTCTGTTTTTACCATTTCTCTGCTTCTGACATGAACCAGTTTACATTGTGGAAAATGTTGGAGCAAACATATATAATATGCAGTGAATCTAAACTGTTAAAAAGAGGAGTCCTCAAAGTGTTTTGTATAAAATTATTTAACCGTTTTGATTTTTGTGGCCTGTACAGTTCTGAGACGTCCACTTAATTTTGCTTTTTATTAATAATACTGTAAGACATACGTTTTCTTTTAAACTGAAACATTTTAATATTTTTATTTTTGTGGCTTAAAATAGCCAAAAAAATCTGTGCTCGTCTTAAATTTAAAAAAAGGGGGAAAAATTGTTTCTTTAATTTGCTTTGTAATCATCTGAACACTAGAGGGCAGGATGACACAGTCTATTTTGATTATGTATCCAGCAAGTCACTGTTCTAAAACCACAGTATTGGATGTCTTTCATCTAAAGTAAATGTGTTTTTTTTTGTTTTTTTTTTCCTGAACTTTCTGTTCCTAATAAATCAGTTCATTTGTTTTTTGACGTTCAGTTTAACTTTTAAGATGTATTTTTAATGTCTGTGGTGTGTACTGCAGGATTTAGACTGAATACTCCCTTTTGACATTGGGAACAAAATAAAAGAATCATCCCACACATTAGAATAGCTGTGGTTTGGAGAACGTAGGGGATTGAATGATGTGCTGCCATAACTCCTGTGAGGACAACAAAAAAGTGGAAGTTTCTGTAGAGCTTGAATCAATGACAGGGGAAAGGTTTTTGTCATTCCTCTAACATCCTTTGAAAAGTAAACTGGTAAAGAGTTATTTTTGAGTGAATGACAGCAGATAGAAACTAGCTGTCTGATTAGATAAGGAAATTAAAAAATAAAAGCTTCACAGTTCAGCGTAAATCTTTTGTGGCTTTGGAACAAAACCACAGTGATTATGAGGTTCAGATGTTTCCAGATGTTTTGTTTTCTTTTCGTGAGGGGGTAACGGGACTTAACTATGTTGAACTTGGCTATAAACAAGACTCTGCTGCTGAGAAATGATCAAACAAATCTGTATGCGATCCAGATTGTTGCAAAGGTAGGGAATAACAAGTAGCTTTCTTCCAGTCATGACCAACACTTCAACTCACCTTGAAGATGCAAACTTATTTTTGCTATTTATGTATTTTTATTTACACTGCATCTAACCACATATTTAGGCAAATTGGCCACAAAGCAAAACATAAATCCTGCATTAATTCAAAAGTCTGGGATTTTATCCAACATGTTAACTGGTTCCTTCAGTTCTGTCATCTTGGGTGAAAAAAAGACATAAAACTGCTGTCAAACTCCCAACATGCTGCATAAAGATTGCAGATGGCTCAAAGACCTGATCATGACCCAGTCCTTCAAGACCTTATTGGCAGATGCAGGTTATTTTTCCTCAATATCAGTTAATGAGAAATGACATGATGCATTTTTGTCAATTTTGCCTCAGGGTTCCTGCAGATCCTTTAAAAAGTCTTAAAAGTCATTGAATTCATCAATCCAAAAATAAGGCCTTAATTATTCATTTGTGTTTATTATGAAATTGGTCGTAAATTTAATTTCACTTGGCATTAAAAAGTCTTAAAAGGTCTTAAATTTAACTTGGCTTAAAACTAACAACCATGTGCCTCCAGTGATCACTATTGACAAGGCTGTTGAAGTTAGGGACAAGTGTCTTGATGCTATCGTTCACAAAAAACTGAGTTTTGGCTCTGGTATTGATCCACCTTACATCAAACAAGAAACAGTTTACAAGTATAAAAATGTCCATTTATGTGTGTCTTCACTGCTTAAATAACCTAAAACTGAACACATTTTTATGAAGGAAAATCAAAATAACTCATTGTGCATTTGTGTGGTTGCTGTTAGTCTGCGTGTCCTTGGAGTAAGGATTTCTGCTGATATAAAACATAGATCATATCAAAAAGACATTTTAAAGACTAAAATTACTTCCATATTTGCAGAGTTTTCCCCTCTCATTTTGTCCTGCTGACAGGTTAAAATTACAACATATTCCCTTGTTGTTGAAGGTTGCTAAGTTCCGGGGCATAAATCAAATTCAAAACAAGAATTCTGGGATCTGCTGTGTCTATTTGCATTTACATGGAAGTGGAACATTTGCAAGTTTTGAGCTGAACTAACTCCATTGGCACAGTTTTTGACCTTCTGTAAGTTAAACTGATACAGATGAAAAACATTGACTTGTCTTTGTTCTCCTCACTCCACTTTAATTTGGCAGGATGCTCAGGGTCATTGTTCTCTTGGAAGGCCAATTTGCACCCAAGCTTTAACTTCCTGGCTGGAGCCTCAAGATGATGCTTTAGTATTTCCACATAAAGTTTTTTTCCTCATCATACTATCTAGTTTTGAAGTTTCCCTCCTGCAACAAAACATCTCCATCTCTTGATGCTGCCCCTCATTTGCCTAAAAGTAGGGATCATTTTCTCAGGCTTACCATCTTCACCCTTTTTTCTCCAAATGTAACAATGGTCATTATGGCCATGGGACACATCTCCAAAAATCTTTGTCTGAATTTGAGTGATTGATAGATAATACTTTAATGATCCCAAGGGGAAATTTGCAAACAAAGTTCAATGTGTATAATAATCTGACCAACTTCAGCTTCCATTTAGGTCTTTTGCTTTTATTTTGGGGTCAACATGGGGTCAATGCACATACTGTACATCCAAACACGCTTATTTCAGGAACACATAACTCATTATCCTGAGCAGTATGATGGCAGAACAACCCCACGGTGTTTATACTTGTGAATAATGTTTTAAGTAGATGAATATGGCACCTGAGTTGCGGTTGTTAACAATTCTTTTCCTGATATTTTGTCTCATTTGATTACTTTAATTTCCCATGATGTCGCACAAAGAAGCATGTTTGAGCTGTCAATTAACCTATTACAAACTTCCAGAGCTTTTGACAGGGTTAGTCAACTCTGGGTTATAACTGATCTAAAACAGGAAAGGTTTTGTCTGATTTAATGTCAGACAATTTTAAGAAATGGCTTTTTTTATACAATGTAATGTATTATATGTAAATAAGTGGTCTGTATGGTCTGTGGAATGAAAATTAATGTCCAATTAGAGCAAGGCCAAAGAAAAATACCAGGGCATGGAAAACTTTCATGTTTTTATCTCAAAGGAGAGCACTAAAGAGCATCGAAAATGGCAGGGAGGGAAAGAGAGAGAGAAAAGGTGGATAGGGGGTCCAATTATCCCAGCTTGATGTCTTTTAGCAGCTGACAGGCTGAGCTGGAGCAGGACTCTGGAAAMAAAAAAAAAAAAAAATGATGATGCCGTCAGTGAGAGCTTGAGATGTTCAGGTGGGCTGTCAGAACACTGAGTTTAAGAGAAATACGGAGATGCATTTTCTTCTACATTGGTGGTCTTACAATAATCTGTTTTCTAAAAGGGGAAGCACCAAAAGCTGCGCATAGTTTGGAAATGTTTAACATCAATATTTATACCCACTTCGACTGACAGGCTGGTCAGCAGACTATCCAGTTTTTCATGTTTTTATTCGTAAAGAACGTCACAAATAAAATCCACATCATATAAAATATTATAAGGACTATTTGTGGTTCAGTCTAGAATGATCCTGTGGATTAATCAAAAATCGTCTTTGCTCATACTGACAAATGATCAAAACCATGTTTCATTGTGGAAAGACTGCCTTAAGAAGTTGCATGTGTTTGCGGTCACCCCCATGCAAACAAAGAGACAGGCTCAAAGGAAAACTCTGCTTGTCTGAGCAGTTTCAACATCTGGTTTGTCCTTTCAAGTGTAAGATGAAAACGGCCGTATGTTATTGATTGCTAATCTTTAACATTGTTTTGAAAATGCCAACAGGATTTTGGGACACACTTCAGAGAGCGCAGATTTTTATTGACAGAGTTTAGAAAGTTACTGTTTAGGAGAAACTACAAGCTTTGGATAGGATGTCGGGGAACTAGGCTCCAGTTTTGTCAAATAAATCACAATAAAAGGGCATTTCCTCACACAAGATGTTATTATCTCTGACGTTATACAAGAAAGCAAGGCGTTTATTTAAAACTGTTTAAAATGTTTGGGAAAATACAACATTTCAAAACAATTGATTCTTCTTAAGCTGGTCAATTTAAAATGCATGAAGTACATTTGTGTACATAATATGTACAGATGAAAGGTAATATTGAATGCACACCATGTTGCTATAAATTTGTATTAAACAGGCTCATTCAGTAGAATATTTTACTAATATTTTTTATCCTCTAACAGACAAACACAGACATGCAGGTATTTCTGCTGATTGTATTGGGCTTTATTGGGGGTTGGTAGCATTGTTTTTTCCTCATTATGAAAACTGAAAATGCATATCGAGAGAAAATGTTTTGCTAGAAGGCAGAACCCCCCCTCCCCCACACACACATACACACACAGCACCACTACCACAACAAAAGCAATAAAATAATGAAAATAATGATAATCCAATTGTGTGTTCCAGCCTCACTCAAGAGATTAGATTTAAATGCTGGAATGATCAGAGATCCTTTTGTTCTCAGGTACCACCACATGTTCAAACAATCCCTTTTCCATCATAATAAAGTACACCAACATGGTTATTATGTTGTGAATAAAATGTACTTAATCAGTCAGCCCATGACGCCAGAACTGATTCATATCTTCCACATTTATGCTGCATTAGGTTTGATTGTGACTTTTTTCTCCTGAAAACAGAAATCAAACCGAAAAAAAAAAAAAAAATCCTAAAGCTTAAATGTAATATAATGTGTGTTACCTTTTATTTAATCAGACAAATCCCAATGAGATTACAGATCTATTTTGTAACAGAGGTCTGGGCCTAAAGGCAACCTAATTTGCATTTTTTTTTCTTTTGCTCTGTTGAAGGAAACCAGGGTACCTAGAGACAACCAACTCAAACTCGAAAATGGAGTTGAACCCAGGACCTTCTTTGTGAGGCAACACGAACCACAAGCTGTCCAGCTGCCCAAAACTCAGGGAAATGGCTCTTCAAGTGTGTACTTACCTCCAAGATTTAAATCTAATTTTTAGGTAATTTTCTGGATGTTTTTGCTTGATTGTAATGTTAGTTACATAAGACTGACATAAACATCACTGTCATCACTGCAAGACGATGAGTGTGGTAAAAATTTGGACATCAAATGTCTTTGCAGACCCATAATCTATTCTGTACGTCAAACATGAGAGACTTGCTAAAAGCACAAGCACTACCTGATAATATTTTCAGCTGCTCACTCGTTGAAGTCATAATTTTCTTGTAACTAGCACAATGTGTGCATTGAGGGGTGTCCGCAATAAACAAAACAATGAACCTAAAATTGGGCCTTTTCACTTTAATCTCTTTTGACCAATAGCTGTTTATTCTGTTGTCTCTTTTTGGTCCTTTTAGATTGTTTTATGTTGTTAAGTTAAAACCGTTTTTACAAAAACTGTTTACAATTTTTGTAACTATGGCAAAAAATGTTCCTTTTCGCTGTGATTTGTTGTCCTGAGAACTAAAAAAAACCACTCTCTTCTGCTTCCTCGTTGCTTTGCTTCTACCTTCTTTCTGTATTTTCCTCAACAGCCTTCTCTGAAACGTAAAAGTGAGAATGATAATCTCCTGCTGCTGTGCCTCCATGTCCCAGGGTACCACAAAGACTTTCCATGTCAGGTACGCTTTGGAACAGCTGGAGCACAAATCCAGGTTACAGACCCCCTGATGACAGAAACTGCCTGTGTTTTTCAACCGCCCTGCAGAGCTGTATTACCTGTGCATTTGAGTAAATGTGCACTGAATCAGAAGGTGCTGAAAGGCACTTGCAACACCAGTTTTCACTCAAGAGCAGATTTTTTTTCTAGGTCTGCTCGGTTTCTCCCTCATAGAAGAAGGTAGAGGGCACATGGCTAATTTCAGCAGAACCAGATTTGCAATACCTTTTTTTCGAATGATAAACTCTCAACATCCTGTTGGAACACAGATGGAGACATTGTGTTACTGCATTTCTCATTTACCCAACATTTCCACTTGATCCGGGCTTCAGGATATTTTCATAACTGTTCTTGGATTTACAGCATTCAGCACATTTTCATACAACGGCATTGTTGAAACACAATCACCTGCACCGACGCCAGGTTGTTGAGGGGAAACGGCTGCACAAATCGCTCGTCCTGCAGGCACAAGCCAGCAACATTAACAACCACATCACAAATGTCAGCTTTGAGGGATTACAGCAATCTGTAATGTTGCATGTGCTCTTACACAAATGACAATGAATGGGACTGGTGGGAATCATGCAAATGTTTTTTTTTTTTTTTTTAGTCTACAATCTGAGCTCAGGCCCTTTTTAAACTCACTCTCAATTTGTGGTTATCTTCTGTTTGGAATAGGAAAACCAGATCAGTACCATTTTCTGCTTTATTTTAAACCAGAAGCCACCAAGTGAAAGTTTTCTTAAAAGAGAATGATTTCCACAAAAATATTGTTGTTTTTACAGAAATATTTTCATGTCTGTTTAACGTTCTTCATGTTTAGCTGAAGGAACTGACCGAGAAGGCGACAAACGGAGGCTGTAAATCATTTTGTCTCTTTTAAAAAGGGATCAAATTATGTCCTGAGTGACACTTTAAATACACTTGCATTTGGACAGCTTTATGTTTAAGATGACTTCATCCATTTCTTATAATGCGTTTGGTACCACACACGTTCAGTACAGGGAGCCTCCACCTGAGATACTTGCAGCTCCCAGGAGGCAGCACTTAACACCATTTGGGGCAGACGCTCCCTGACTGCAGCATGGCTGTGTGAGCAAAGGAAGAGGGGCTGTTATGTGTGTGCCTTAATGGGAGCCTGTTAAACCTAAAGTGCTGCATGCATCAGCATATTGTAGCAGATGTCTAAATTTTGCTGAATTTCTTGCTGTCACTGGGGGGAAAAGATTGACATTAGTGGCTTTTTAGATGAAGCATGTAATTTACGTTTAAGGCTTGTTAAAAGCACCATTTAAATAAGTGTTTTACTGAATATAGATTTAGTATAGGCAAAACTAAAAATTGTATTGCTCACTTTAGTATTTTTTTCTTTATTTATACAAAAGTACTGTAAAATGCTTGAATGCAGAGCAGGTTTAGGTTTATCTTTTTGTTCTGTTTGGGTCATTTTTTTCCAGTTTTCTCTATTTTCTCTGGCATTTTATGAACATCACAGTGCAACGAAACAGCCAAATAAGGTCTGGACCTGCCAACTACAGTTTGGTCTTTATTCTCCTCTCACTCTGATTCAGACTCTGGCTCCAACGTGTAAGGCTGGATGGTGTAGCGAATTACTCTATGAAATTAGGACCAGCCTAACCTTCACAAAATAATCCAGCAAGATCTTGCAAAATGAAATCAGGAAATAATGAAAT